TTGTGAATTTCGACTGCAGATTATTTCTCATCAGTATTTATCATGTCAATTCCAGGCAATTTCTAGTCAAATCGCTGGCCTGCGAAGATTGTCAGTTAATCTTCAGAATTTTCTTGTGAATTTCCACTGCAGATTATTTCTGCTGATCACTCAGAGTTTTCTTGTGAATTTCGACTGCAGATTATTTCTCATCAGTATTTATCATGTCAATTCTAGGCAATTTCTAGTCAAATCGCTAGCATGCGAAGATTGTCAGTTGATCTTCAGAGTTTTCTTGTGAATTTCGACTGCAGATTATTTCTGCTGATCACTCAGAGTTTTCTTGTGAATTTCGACTGCAGATTATTTCTCGTCAGTATTTATCATGCCAATTCCAGGCAATTTCTAGTCAAATCGCTAGCCTGCGAAGATTGTTAGTTGATCTTCAGAGTTTTCTTGTGAATTTCGACTGCAGATTATTTCTCATTAGTATTTATCATGCCAGTTCCAGGCAATTTCTTTAGCTCTTTGAAAGTGTCGGTCGATCTTTGAGAAATCTTCCTCGCAGAACAGTTTCATTATTGATCACGTTTGTTATTCTACCGATTTTTGGTAATGTATTCTACTCTGCAATAATATCAGCTGATCTTCGAGAAATGTTCTGTCAGTAAAAGTTTGATTTTATTGATTTTAGTGCCATTAAATTTTAGGAAATTTCCAATAATATGATGATCTTCTGTCACTCGCGAACAATTTACTATCGGGAACTTTGATTGCCAAATATACTGAATAATGTATCAAGTTTATAACCATTTTTAAGTTGTTAATAACATTAACGGTGACATTATTTAATTTTTTATCGATTGACAGTCTCGATTTAACGCGCTATTGCAATGTGTTATTTAACGTATAATGTATTGTTTCACTGTTGAATCAATTACTTCCAAGCAACAAATTTTTAATAACATGGTGGATACAATGTTGTTCGATCATTTCGTTCGCAAGTCGGTAATCTGATAGTTTAATATTTTTATTATAGTATTACAGTATCACTAGTTTCAGGCAATTTATAATATTATTCAAACGGTGCGTTAATCTTCTGTCGATTCATGTCCTTCGCAACAATAATATTCTATCTAATAATACTTTATCGCGTTCATTGTTTATTATCATATTTATCGAATGTTCAATGCAACCATGGATAGAGTGTTTAAACTCTGAAATATTCGATTGTTTTATTCACAAGCCTTCATTTGCCAATTTTAAGCAATTTCACATCGACGAAACTTCGTTTCCAGTTGGTCGGGACTTTTTATTGTTTATCACGTGAAATTCGCAAACACACTTGACAAGCGAAGCCGCGTTGCAAAGCAAAGATTAACCGGATCTCTCCTCTCCGTGAGAGGCAGAAGAACATCAACAAGTCCAAGAGAACAGAGTTGTTCGTCCGCGGACACGCTGAGGCCGTGTTTTCGGCACGGCGATCGCGCGCGTACTGAAAATCCCAGTAGCCAACCCCCGTTCGACCCTCTCGCTCGCGAACCACCCCCGTGTTCGAATACAGGCGACGCAGGCTTATGCACGTGTACACGCGACCTCACGCGGCTGTGTAAGTTACACTCGTAGAATGTGCATCCATTGCATATTTGCAGTTGGACGACTTTCGTGCTCCGCGAGATCTCCGTCACTTTATCAGCTGATCCTTCGTCCACGAGTGACAACCGCGTGCACAGGTGCACGATTATTAGCTATGTTGTCGGGGGGAGGGGGGAGGGAAACCTCATCTGGAGAGTACAGCATACGTTTAAATTCGAAAGATCGGAGAGTGGAGAGTG